GAGGGGGAATAAGCAAGAAGAGCGAAGCTCGAGCAAGAGCGTGGCGTGACTCGCGTGTGACGAGAACGCGGAAGTCGCGCGTGCAATTGAACGTCAGAATATATGCTAATAATCGCACGACTCTAGGCGCAGCAGAATTTATTTGTATTGGTATCCATGTGGTTGTGACGCACAGACGCACGTACACGGAATAGAACGTCGCGAATGCGCGATTACTGCCGTATGAAGTTCTAATGTCAGTTACGTTATACATAACGACTAATTCATTAACCGGTAATCGTCGACCGACTTTTCTCCACAATAATGTTGAAGTACTAATTATGGATGTCTCGAGGACGTGCGATAAATAACTAAAAAACGTTAGCTCGCTATAAAGTCAATTCCTCCCGGCGATCTACATAAAGATAATTGATAAACAGATAGGACGGTTTTGTATCTACACGGAAGCAGTTTTGCTGAAATAAAAACTTAATGAAAACAAAGTAAATATCACCGATAAAAACAAGTTTTTAAAATTAAAGAAATAATTAAAAATGTATCTACAAATCTAAAAATAATTTGGTTGGATCGTTAAAATAAGCAAAACGTTTAAACGCGACAATGCTATAAGAAATTTTAACATTCCAGTAAATAATTTGAACAAAATATAATTATTCGGATGGTTTAAACAAATGAATTTTTTTAAATCGGTCTTATAGCTAAATTTTTTATATTTCGGCAAAGCTGTATTTTCCATGTAAAGATCTAATTAGCTACAGACAAGATAATTATATAGAACGCTCAAACATCATGATGCAATATTGTGAAAAATTGTAGCATCCTAGTAAACATCCTGAGTGTCGTACATAGTTGTTTTGATCGTCTAACAAACTTATTTTTAGATTTGTATCTAGCTATTATAAATGTTTACATATTTCAGCAAACCTATTTTTTCCGCGATATTCATATATCTACAGTTTCCACTAAATCATGATTCTGAATAATCTTTCCAAATTGCGGATGTATTACTTTTATTTATCGATTACATATTACTGACTCACTTGTACGCGCAGCACAACGTACATACGTTTATCGGTTAATGAATTACAATTAACGTTACATAAAACATTAGCATTATTATACAATAAAAGAAACATATGACATTGCATAACATTGCAAGGTGTTGCGTGCACGAGTAATTCACCTGACTCCGCTAAAAGTTTCTCAACCTATCCATACCCTTACGTTGATATTAGATTCCGTATTTGACGATTAGGTTCGGTATTAGACCCTGTTCTCTCTCTCCCCTCCCCCCCACCTCCCCCTCGTCTCGTTTTACAATATAGGTATCTTGAATACACGTGTCACACGCGCCACCGCGAGGAGGCTGTAGAAGTGGTCGGCGGTCCGTCGCGATACAAGCACGCCGGTGCAACGTGCGCCTGGATGGAGGAAGGAGGAGTGACGGGGGATCAAGTACTTCGCGAAGCCAGGACGGGGGAAGGGGTACGATCGACTGTAGAGAGGGGCAACGTCAATTCGCGGCAGCACGTGCAGCCGCGTAAGAACGACCTTGAGGGTCAGTGCTCTCCGCGTAAGCAGGCCATAGTAGTACGTCGATGCGAATCGATCGCCTCTCCTCTCTCTCTTTCTCTCTCTCTCATTGAGGTAGGCGACGCGACGTCGATAGAGGAGACCGCAGGGGAACAGGGTGAGGAACAGGGAGACGGGACAGGCAGCTGGAAAAAGCGAAAGACACGACAAGGAGAAGAGGACTCCTCCGTGCCGTATCGAACGCGACGCTTCTGCTTAGGGGATGTTTGGGCGTGGATTTTGGGGTGAGAGTACTCCCGCGCTTCGGTTTTCAGATAGTAGCCCCTTTCGCCCCTTGTATTCCCCTCGGCTCTGTCTCGGATACTGGAATGCTGGCGGCTCTCCCCATGAAACTAGCGAGCGAGCGCAAAATTCACGGACGAATAAATCAGGCGAGATAGCGTAATGTCCAGAATACTGTCTGATTACTGAAAGGATATCTTGAGAGAATTGCTTATGTGAAGGTAATTTAATATCAATTACTTTTTATGGTTATACAGGTGGAAAATTTGTTTCAATACAATACATTTCACGTGTCTCAAATAGTTCAATGAAAATTATATGTAAACACAAGATAATAACTAAAAAGTAACATAATATTATGTAAAAAATTAACATGAAAAATGTAATACTGATACAATTTGTATGCAATATACTCGAGTTATCAGGAAAAGTTTATGTTTACATTAAAAATTAACTAGGCTTGTAAGGAAAAAATTGTATGTTTAAAAAAAAATTACAGATAGCGTAGATACACGTAATAAAACTAGTTCAAGGGAATACATACAATATTTTTTCTCAATTATGATAAGATTAACTCATCAACCTAATTTAAAGTATCTTTATAACAAATTAAAAACCGATCAGTTAAGGATAGAAAAAGTTATAAATGTAGGTGCTTTTGATAAGAGGAGCTAATCTAATCAGAATGACGCATAGCAATTAAGGGTTGAGTAGCACGATGTTGAATAATCACATTAATAGAACCCTCAAACACGATAGACGATACTCAAGTTTCGTGTTTCATGCGATAAATATGTAAGTCTCACGATACGCGACGACCCGCGCGGTCCGTTTGGAGATAACTAACCGATAAGCGAGAAAATATGAATCTTCCTGACCTGCATGAACTTTTCTCTAAATGGCTTTGGCGTATACATATGAAACTTCGCCGTCATTCACGGATTATGTGAATACTATTATTTTCCCGACGTCACACACAACACTTTGAGATCTAGGAGAGGTCCAGAAGAGATCGTCGTCCAGCGATGATCTACTTCCGACGACCCGAGTGAACTCTCATTCTTATTTCACTCATAGAACTGCTGTTTTCTCTGCATTATCAAATTTCTCGCACTTCCGTATCTTACGGATTAGTGTTTGTTATTCTCTGTCCGTTTTCCTAATTTTGATAGTATTTTATACAGTTTAAAAACTGATATATCAATTATAAAAAATAATTATGAAAAAATAAGTGAAGATAACTTTTTTGAGATCAGAAAAACAGTGAAATTTTTCAACAATTGATTAAAATTGATTTTCTGCCTTTTAACTTTAGCGAAGAAAAGATCTACAAAATTTTTCGCAAAACCGTGATTATATTGGAATTCAAAGAAAGCATACGTGAAACGTCAAGAGCTGTTAATACTTTAAAGTAGCCTCGAATGACGATCCTATTTCTCGTGCCACATATGCGAACGTGACGGCACGTTTCTCTTCCTGGTCAGCCGTATATAAGACGAAGCCATAAATCTCTTCATACCTGAGCCTTGTGATGTCTTGTAACCAACAAGCTTCCAATCCAGTTACGAAAATGAGTATCGTCACACAAAGCGAATGCCGGAATCCTGCTCGCGGCGCGCCGAAATAAGAAATAACAATAACAAATACATACAAATAAAGAATAACAATAAGGCATACAAAAAATATAATATAATATTATAGAGAATACAATGCACGAGCACTCTCACGTCACGACTCATGTTATCGACAAATTGGATCGGAATTGTGCGGCGGGCAAAAGAGCAAAGTAAATGTCTCAATGATTGAACTATAATAAGAATAATATACGCTCGAATATTATTATTGATTATTAATTAGTAAGAATTAATATCCTTATGAAATTTTGTTTGGTCAATAATAGAAAAAAAATATTATCATATAAAAGAAAACACTTAAGTAAAATTGCATTAATACCTACATTAATTATATCAGTAACTGAATTTTTAATAAAATAATTTTGTAAAAAAATTTAATTTTCAGTTTTTTACAATCATAAAAATATTATATGTTATTTATTTAACATAATATATTGTAATTTTTTTCAATAATTTGTGATTAAAAAATTATATATCTTTATTACTTATTTTAATGACATATTTAACTTTTTCTGTTTCGTTTCTTGTTATTTTCTTGCTGCAATGACAAATAACTTAATAATTAGAAATAAATTGTTGATTTTTCAATCACTGGGCACATTCAGTTATTGGAACATTTATCTTATGTCGAAAAGAAAAAAGAAGTCACACACACCGCATTCCTGCCACGGCCGGTTTCGCCGTTCCGTTCGCTCGCACGCGGATACAGTCGCAGACGGAGGAGGGGAGAGGTATGTGTACACCTTTACGGGATACGTGGTGTTTGGGGAGGTGATAGTAGCGCAGTCGACGTCCGTCCCGGTGACCAGACGTAATCAGAGCTCTCCCACACGGCAATAGCCGGCCGCAAATCAACGATACATTAATGCTGGAGCACCGAGATGATTCCTTCCCGTTCGCCCGCGAGAAAGTGCGGTCGGATGAATCATTCGGTGTCTTCCACATGCGAAAGTAGGCGTCACGAGTATCACGTAGGAACATAGGAACGCGAATTGCTTTAAAATGCAACTCCAATCACGTAATCGTCGATACGATCTCGTCCATGCCTTCGTAAAATAACAATGTACAGCGCACAAATTTTCGCAAAATCTTGCGAAGTCTATGGTTGACGAGAATCGTGACGAGTGATTCGCCAATAAATTTAGATGATCCCGCAGAACGTTCAGCATGCTAACGCATCCAGGTATAATATAGATGCATTAGAAAATGACAGACGCATCTCACTGCTGTGGAAAATGTCAATTTAATCATTGCACTTTCATGTCTCTTTCTCTCTTTTTCTATATATATCTGTGTCTTTTCTTACGCTCTCTTTCTCTCTCTCTCTCTCTCTCTCTCTCTCTCTCTCTCTCTCTCTCTCTTGGGGCATTCCTTCCCTATACCTTCCCTACCGCGCTATCGTTTCGAGAATAGACGAGCGACTGGCATACCGCCTTGAACGAGAAATGCAATAAGAACGAAAAGACGAGACGGCGAGCCGATCGAAAGGAGAAGAAGGATCCTCAATGAGGGGTAAAATGATCGCGAGCGCGAAATGCGAGCGTGAAATGCGAGCGTTGCCATTAAGTGAGCATCATAATTAATAATTAATGACGATAAGCAGGGCTTATATTCAGAATCCATTCGTTCAATTTTCAAGTAAAATATACAATTAAAAATTGCATATTATATTTATGTCGTTATTTTTTAATTTATGTTAATACTTTTTCTCCATTTTCCAAAAATAAAATGTACAGAGAATAAAGATCTTATATGAACTACTAAAATACTCTTTATAAGTTAAGTGTAATTTTTGTTATATTTGATTCCGTTAACACAGAATTTTTTGTTTATGTTAATAATTCTTAATATTTTCAGAAAAAAAAGTACAGAAAATAAAAATTTCACACGAGTTACTAAAATACTCTTTATAAATTAAATACAATTTTCCCTAGTCACAATTTATTAAATTAATTAAATTATTTAAATTAAATTACACGTAAGAATGAGTACTCCGTTGTTTCACTTATCGCAGACTTGTCTGTTGCAAAATAGTTATTAAGACAGAAAAAAACGGGAGATGAGGAATCGATTGCTTAAACAAGAAAGGAGTCACAAGTCGCTGTCGACAACACTGAGCCAGCATTCCTAAATCAGATCTTGCCGGTCTGACATTTCGGGCGTTCGACTCGGTCTCTTAATTGCCGGTGCAAGAGTCAAGGCGTCCTGGTTAGTCGACCAGACGATTCCTTTTTTTATCTTCCTCCGTCCCCCCCCCTCTCTCTCTCTCTCTCTCTCTCCCTCTTTTTATCTTCTTCTTCATTTGCACGACGATAACCGGAAACGATTGTGCAAAATCCAAATGCGTCGCGTCTATGCGGGAATAACCGATAAATCTGTTCGACTAAAAATGATAATTACCGTGTTATCTAAGCCTTTGGAATAACATTTAAATAACTTACGCCGATGGATTTAAAATTATAATGACGCCCGTTGAATGTAGGGGTATTACTTTAAGCAATGCAAAGCAGATATTAGCTCGTATCACGACTCTAAACTTAGCTCATACAGACGTGATATTCTCGCATGTAACGGTGAAAAGTTTAACGCTTTCCTCAATTATCTATACGCAAAAATCAGCGACGGTACCGACTAAAGGAAATCAGCCTCGCAATCCCATATTAATTTTTTTTGCAAAATACTTTCGGTGTGAAAATTAATTGAGTTCAACGATCACCTTTAGAGGAAGGAATCAAATGTACCGTTTCATCGTTCTGGAAAAATTCCACTCCCATTTAGAAAGTTCTAAGAACAACTTCAGTGGGCGCTCTTGCTACGGCACTTATGCAGTCTCTCCCACGCAACCGCAGTTAATGAATGAATGAATTGCGTCATCTTACGGAGATGCGCTTTTACGTACAGTCCCGGCACAAAAATAGGCACCCACTTGCTCTCCCGAGGGAAAGGCATAATTGAAGTAGTGGGAGGAGGAAGTGAAGGAAAGGAGGAAGAGGAAGACGGTGAAAGTGAAAAAGCGATGCACTTTATTATACCTTATAAATCAGAAAAGAAATAATCAGTGATAGTGTTATTTAAACTTTGAGATAAATTCCTTAGAAATAATTAACAAGAAATTGAATAGATAGGAACATAAAGATGTAAAAATGAAAAGAAGAAAAGGTTAGTGCCTTAAAAAACCAATTGTAACGAAAGATTATAAAATATTTAAAATCTTTAAATAAAATATTGAGGACAGTAATTAAAGCAATAATAATCATATGAAAAGTTTGATAGACAGAAAAACAGAGCAAGTGATTTCTACATTTAACGTTTAGATGAAACGTTAGCTCATACCTTCGTGGACACCTAACCCGTATACGTACAGAATCGATACTGCAAAGCAAAATTGTTTTGCAATAACCAGAATGCGCGTTACATTCGCGGTAAAACTGCATTTCAATGATATTAGAATACAACCCACGTCAACCGCCCGTATTATATACGTATTTTAATAATGGACTGCCTGACATTTTCCTCACTTTCGTGCGATGGTGCTTTCGTAACGCAACGTTAGCCAGAATAAATTCAGCACCGCTGTGTAATTATTCTGCCTATTAATGTTCTGATTTTTATTTCTCGACTAACTGGAGACTTTACGAAGTCTGCCGACAGAAGAATGCGTGAATATATAAATTCTAAGCGCTGTATTCGAAATAAAGAGAGAGAGAGAGATAAAATCAAGAATGTCACAAGATATCAAAATGTTGATCAGTGACATTTATCATTTATTTCTACGGGAAACAAAGCGGTACAGAAGAGAGAAGGGGATAAAATATTAAGTCTGCACGGATTTAATTCTTTTCGCTAGTCATGTAAAATGTTGCACCTCCGTTAGTATAAACTTGAGCCTTTTAACTTCTACGTAAATTTTTATATTGTTTCGGATTGTATAAAAATCTAAAAACTTCTTGTAAAAAAATTCATAAAAAAATTTTTATTAATAAATAAAATTATTTAAAAAAAACTGTATTAGACGAAAGTTTTTAAATAAAATATTAGTAGAAAAAAAATTACATTTTTTAAAATCAAATATATAGTTGTTGTAAATAGACTAGCAAGGTCCAATTTATTCAGAATTTATAAAAATCGACGGATTATCGACTGTGCCTTTAAAATCCAATTTGGCCGATGAAGGGTTAAAAATCGCAAATAAAGATTTTCGACGATAGGTATTGTGATCGTTCGAACTGTACAATGAAAAGGCGGAAGAATTGAGCGTTCTATCTATTTCCTCGAAATCGAAATTGACTTTCAGACGCGCATAGCAGCACGTGCATGACCGTCTGTTTGCGAAACGCATGAATCCTGATTCCGATGCGACGCGCGCAAGTAGCGACATTCCAACGGGCGACTTTCCTGGAAGCTTTAAGCGAGGAATTTGCATGAGGAACGGAACCCGCGGTGCACAGCCTATACCATCGATGAGAAAAGAACCTGGGCGGAGTACGAATACCACGAAAGGTAGCTTTAAGCAGAAGACAAGACGGAGTCTTCCTTGAAATGCTACGGCGTGCAAATTGTCCGGGAGAGGGGAGGGGAGTTACCATTAATGCACACGAGTTAATTAAAAGTACCGCGAGCACTCTATGGACTCTTTTGAAAAATAATTACTGCAGAATATAAATAAATCAAGTAAAAAAAGAATATAACAGCCAAGCTAGGTTTTAACGTTCAAATTTATATAATAAATATTCTAAATATATACGAAACAAAAATTTATGGATATTGATGCTTTGCATATGAAAGAACTTTTCTCATTTATCATTAATAGAATAGTAATTCTAATATCTTAAATTATCTTGAATTCATTAATTAATTTCTAAATATATTTACTGCAAAATTCATACGGCTTATTTTTGTATTTTTATCTGCAGCGATATTTTTATAAGAGGGAGATTTTTAAACCTTTAGCTCACGCTATGTATCCCTAAAAGCAACTCCCTAAGTATTAAAAGCGAAAAGTCTGGTTCGCTGTTGAAAACTGATCCTCCAGCCGACGTTAATCACGAGATTCCGAGATACGATCTCGATACGACAAGCAAAATGCACTCGTTTTTTGCCGGTCGCTCAGCCATCCTGGTCCTCACCAAGTGATTAATCTTTCAAGACGCGAAATCGAACGGTCAGCTCGAGTTCGAGGAATTTCACGATCGTCTCCCAACCGGGAATTTCCTGGCTCCCCACCACGCTCTGTCGACTGTATCGCGGATCGCTGTCGATGTTGATTATACATATCGTTGCATTCACAAGGTCTCGGGTGATTAGCGGCGCTAAGCGCTTGACGCCACGAATATAGGTAAGTATTATTCATTCGCTGCAATAACGACATTGTAGTTCAAAGAGTTGTGATCTTTTAATTACAAAAAATGATGAATACATAAAGAAAAAACAAATATTTTAAAGAAAGAACATACAAAGATAAGAAATGTAAATAAATATTTTGAATTATTAAAATTTTGTAATTCATTTTGAATGCAATTTTGATGTAATAATTGATGGTAGAGAAATTATTATTCTTCTATCATCAGTTATTACATTAAAATTGCATTTCAAAATGTTAAAAAGTTTAATGATTCAAAACATTTAAACTCATTTTCTGGAAAATTGTATTTTTAAATAAATAATTTTTGTTGTTTTTTTTTCAGTCGCGTCATGTTTGTAGTAAACAACTTAGTAATTTTATTTCTTTTTGTGTTGTTATTGTAATAAAAATGAGCCATATGCTGTTGCAGCTTCATGCAATTTATGCAAGAGGAGATTCACAGAAAAATGACTATTCACGCGGGAAACCGAGTTGCCAAATATTTATACTCGAATATGTCAATTTATCTTATCAATGGATGAATCTTTAAACGATACGATTATTCAACAATGCAAATTCGTAATTGTTAAATCAATATAAAATATATTTAGTAAAAATAAATCCGAGAGATCGCGAGAAGTGGAGAAGAATGTCACGTCCTTCTGGTATCGAAAATCGTTGCATCCGTACGTCAATTACCGACAATTGGTCGATTGTGAATGGAACACGCGCGTCTTCCTGACGTATGACAGGATACAGTTCTCAACGGTGAATCATCCCGTTACGGCTGGGTGCAATGAATCATATGACAGATCCGCTTTTCCGAGGAAAATCCGATTGTCAATTTTTAGTTAACTGTTCTACTCGCGTCCACTTGGAGTATTTCCAACTTCGTAATGTATACCATACGTGTGCTCAGTGATGTTTCTTCAAGGAAACGCGATCGAAAGATCAACGAGATGCAAATAAACTAAATTCCAATAAGCATTTCTGCGACTGTAATTTATTATCGCAGACACTATATATATATATATATTTTCCATGTTTTTCACTAATAGTCGCCTTTCGTTATTGACACAAATAACACTGACAAGCAATAACTGTAGCCACGTGTAAGAAAATTAATATATTCCGATTTCCTCAACCATAACATTTATTTGCAAAAATTATGATCGTTAGATTTATTGATTCAGCAAAACTGTTACTAAAATATTTCGATAAAATTATTTAAGTCAAACAAGTATAAAAGGCAAATGCCGCGGGGGCTACCTGCTGACGTGGTACACTGTTGAATATCCCTCATCGTACGACTGCGGCGCGAATGGCAAAAAGGCTTAACTGCATTCCGGCGACCATTTAAACCACCGCGGCGGGATCCCACGCCTGACCGCAAACGGCGATCGGCTAAGCGGACCGGCGCGGCGGCAGACCGGCCGGCTATCGGTTGACGTCACTCGGTATACCGCGCGACCTTCGAGTTCCCGCGCGATCGAACGCGCATGCGCCATCGATCCTCTCGGTTGCGCGAAAGGAACATCACGCTCGAATAAACTCTCGGCGCGAAGAAATTCGGAGCATTTATTTAGACTTAGGATTAATGATGTATAAAACGATTTTATTAAAGTATCTAAAAATAATTTTGTTGAGCCATCAAATAATTACGTAAAAATGTCAAGCATGACAAACAATATTGCAGAAATTCTAGAAATTAGTTTAAGTTTTCCCTACATGATTATTTTGATGGTTCGATAAAATGATTTTCAGTATCTGATTAAATTTTTTCATGTTTCAGTAAATCCGTTTTTTTTTGTGCAAATATTGATAAAAATTAACCAATTATTTAGTTACTTTGTTTTCATCTTAATTATATTAAATGATGAAAATATAATTACATAATTCGAAGCATTAGATTGACCAGTCGGAGGAGTTTTACTAATTGATTCATGAAAGAATGCTTTAAAGAGTTTCAGGCATTTGTGGTATCAAGTGGACAAGAACCAAATTTGTTTAAATTCGACACGACATTTATATACTACTTTGAGCGATCACTTATTTTGAACTTTCTGCGGCGAGTGGAACAAGCAGGCACAGTCAAATGAGATAGCTATTTATCCTTTCATCGAGATGCGTGTACATGTATTCCTCTTAAGAATCTGTCGTAAGTCTTCGTAAATTGCTCACTTAATATACGTTGCGGTTGCGCAGAAATGTTCATCAGATTTTAGATGGAGAAATGCACACATTAATTATACACTCTCAATTAAGATACTTGGAAATAAACGCAGAAATCCGCGCAAAGGTGTACTGGCGATTTAATATCTTAACTGCAAAATGCATCGCGTGAAGATGAAATCAAAAGACATTTGCTTTGAAATTCAAATATTGAATCCGTTAGTTTTTACTTGCGATGGAAAGAATTAATGCTCAAACACGTGATGCGATCATGGAAACCGTCCGTGAGTGTAAAAAGAAGCAAATAAAAAAAGACCAAACCATACGGGCTTAGTTTATCTGCGCCGGATGTCGGACGCTTCGTATCTTCTCCGTAACAGAGTAACATATTGCGAGAAAAAAAGTAATCAAGTGACCCTCTCCCGGATGAATAGGAGACAAGAAGGCCGCCAGTGCAGAGGTCCGCGAAGATATGAAAAAAATAGCAGTGTGTTCAATCTTTAAAAAAAAAAAGAAAGACAAGGTCAATCAGCGGTAATCGCGTGTTACGTAAAAATCGAAAGGCGATTGTTGCGTGCGTGGCAAATCTCGTATCTTACTAAATTTTTCGCGCCCAAACCGATGGAAAGTTAATTAAAACAATGAAGTTAAAGAATTTAATTCAAAAAGTACATTAAATTTGATTCAAATTTATTATTTATTAAACTATTTAATTATTATTTATTAAGTGTATTATGGATTTATGTTTATTTTGAAATTGTATAAAGTAATTTAACCACAGAAATAAATTTGTCTACATTTTAACATACATGGGAAGTTAAAGATATCAAAACGCTATTTTTTCAAGGAATTGGGTTGCCGTGGCCTCTTTAATATCTGACAGTCCGGAGAAATGAATTGGTCCGTTTCTCGCAAAAGTTATCTCACGTGGCTCGCGGTGACGATTACGAGAGCGCGAGATGAAAGAACAGTTCTCACGATGCTCGCTCGAAACCCAAGCGCCGCATCGGGTAATTTACGAGCGCGATTACGCGTTCGTAAATCGGTACGAGTGGCGGCACGAGTATCCGCGCGATGTACATCTTGCGCTAAGTACGGCCATGATTCTTGACCCGTGATAACGGCGAATGCGAGTTTCATCATCGATAAAAAAAAAAAGAAGGAATCAGGCAATCGGGTTTGGCATTAAGAGGAACGCGACTATAGAACAAAGCAATCAAAGAAATATTGGGAAGTGTAATTTGTAATTTTTTGTGACAACCGACAATCACCTGCGCGTCTTCACCAAGCTGGCTAACCGATCAAAACCGGCGACTTGCGCATCAGTGAATCGGCCAATTACCAATTATGATCGGGCAACGTCAAGGTCGAATTTGCGACGTGTCCGGTCACATGCCGCCATCGTCATCGCCTTGGTCAGGCCGATTGGGATCCACGATGTGGGTCCATTTAAAGAGCTGCGGGCGGAGAGAGTGAGAGAGGAAACGCGCGGCACTTTTGAAGGAACCCGCGCGGTTCAAATGTCCCACCGACTTGCCATTTGTGAAGCGCCATTTGGCGCTTCATACTTCTCGAGTTCTCCACAATGACTGGCTACTTAAGTCATTCGTGACAATGTTGCAAGATTGCGACATCCGACGATATCGGCGTCATTACTCATTCAGATCTACCGCGTCTGAAGGTTTTCAACTATACGTTTCCGTCAAGAAATATTCAACATTTCTGAAGACAAGTTCGTTTGACGTAAACCAGTAAATTATTAAATCGAAACCAAATTAAATTAACTTGTCAAGTAACATCAATCGCATGTTTTACATACATATCTGCTTTCTTGCACTTTAAAAACTAGCCCGCGTCAGATTACACATTAGAGATTCACTATTAAATTTGTTAAATTATACCTAATTTTAATATTATTCATTATTTCTATGGGTCGTCTCACTGATCATGATATTTTAATCTATAATGATATTTTAACTAAACCAATGAAATTAAATAATTTAATTCCAGGAACTAGAATTGAAAAACAATATTTTAACAAAAACACAACTCTGCTTTTAATAATTACAGACACAGAAGAAATATGACATATGATTTTGATTAGAATAACATCACAATTTTAAATGAGGAAAAAGCATCAAATGACTGATCTTAAAGATTTATATTTATAAACAGACACAGAAACTAAACTGACATAAAGACAAAATTACTCATATGATATACTAATTTGTTTACGAAAGACTACTGCTTCCATCTTACTCACAAAGTCGTCCTCAGACTGAACAACATCAACTCTTGACACTCGTTATTACATGTAAGTTACATCTAATTTAAGTTTTATTAATTTAAAATTATCATAATCTTGTAACATTGATCACACAAAAATTCTACGCAGTGAATGCCATTTATTTTACCATTCGATTATAACTTTTCGGAATTTTACAAAGTAAAAGAAGACACATTCTTTTAAGGATGTGTTTTACCGTGATTGTGCCAGAAAATTACACGAATATAAAGATGTTTGCACTCAATTTATTGTACTACTACTTATTATATTTTGCATTTTATATTAAAAATAACTCAAAATAGTATCGAAGCGTTTGTTTAACCAAATTTGTTATTGTAAATTAAGATCGATAAATGTCAAAGAGATTGGGTTACTATTTTTCCTTTGATATCTAATAATGTTCAGAATTACAAATTAAACAGAGTTCGACCAATCAGACAATTTAATTTTAATTCGTTTCGTTCTGATCTATTATTAAATTCTAAAGCCTGTTTTTAACTTCTTGCTTTATTAATCTAATCTTTTTTTTTTCAACATGGAGAGGAAAAAAGATGGATTTTCAACCTGGATGGACCTTAAAAAAAAGAACAAATCTCTAATCTCCAATGCGCAATTATCAATCTTTAATGCGTATGAAGATTGCTTTAGAGAGAAAAAAAGAGAAAGAAAAGAAAAAAAAGAGAAAAGGCAACAGAGTGTAAAATTCTGAATTAAAAACAACAGACCTACGTCGATCGATCATAGGTCGAGTCCGCTAAACGTTCGTTTTGATCCTTGTCTCGTATTCCCGCCAAAATCAATCGCGTCAGCGGCTTCTCGTCACAGCATGTCTCGCGCGCAAACAAGACGAGCTCGAGAGACAGAGAACGATCGTTCTAATCGGCGAAGTACCGCCGCGAGCGAGAGGCACGTAATCATCTTTGTACGTTACGTGTCTGGGTCACGAGCGCGTATATACGCGGTCGCGTGAGCGCACATGTCCCGCGTATACCTATACATATACATGTGACCGACAGAGAACGATGTCGTCATGTGGTGCAACATACCTACTCCTCAGGTGTACGTACAAACGGGCGCGATTTGCCGCCAAGCAACACGACGTCGCCGTTGCGGATTCCACGGTGCTAGCGGTGATTACGCGCGCAGAATATCCACTCGAGGCATGGTTTAGGCATGTTTCGATTCCCCCGAGAGATTGTAGATACCTATTTGAAGACGTAATCGCGCGAGATATTGCATTATTCTTAACCCCACGATCGCGACATTCAACATGCGGCTGCATATTTAAAGATGAAATTTTTATGTACACTACATCGTTTATTTTAGGAATATTTGTAATTTTCTCGAAAAATCAAGTGCCTTGATAAAGAAAAAAAAATCGAGTTGTCGAAAATGCATGTTAAAGAGGAGAGATAGAGCTGTAAAAATTTGCTTTTTTAGTTTCGTTTCTATTATATTTTGTATACTATATATGAAGTGGCTGTATATATAGTTTGACAAAATATTGATAGGTAAAAATTAATAAAAAAAGTATTTTACAATAGACTTTTTAAAGCTTCAAAATGATTCTTTTTTAATAGTACGATTATTTTTCACAATAATATCGAATTTTTTGTATAAAAACTTTTTTTATAAAATGTTTTGTAATTATAAAATTGAAGAGTTTACAGAAAAGAAAAAAAAGAAACAATTTTTTTCATAATGTTCTCGATTCGTATACATTTCTTTAAAAGTATTTAAAGATTTTCTTTAATTTAAGTCTTCATGAGACAGATAATTGTGCAAGCGTTTTTAAACTACGAACAGTAGCGTATAAATTCTCGTGGAATAATAATTATAAGAAGTTAGATAATAATATTAGATAAAACAAGCCATTATTTATTTTAACGATTGTCGCGTAACGATAAAAATAAGTGACTTACGGATAAATTATTTGTATGCCTATAACGCGAAGCAAAACGCTCGTTTCAAGTCTACAAGGACAACCAATATTTTCGGGACTTGTTTATTTTCATCTCGCGTGTTTTATGCTCTCGGGGTTTAGGTCGC